TCTGATTGAAAAACAGTGGTAATCTGTTCAGCATTCTGATGTAATCCTGTCTCGAATCCTATCAGGACCCTGACAGTCCACGGCTTCGCACTTCTTTTAGGATTTTGTCGTTCTCTCAGGGAAAAAGAACGAGTCCTTGGAGGATCCTGATCAGATACTTTAAAGATCTGAAACTGGGAGACGAAACGTTTTTGATAAAGTAGTACAATTTCGATCCCTAAAAAAATTCGGAACTTGTTACAAACAAATAAAGCGATTCTGCTAAAATCTTACAAAAATTATTCTAATTAGAATTTTTCCAAGTGCCAATTGATGTTATTGTGGCATTCGCTCGATAAAAGCCAGTGTTTTTATAATTTTTTTCAGAAGAAAATTTAATATAAAATATTAAAATATCGTGTTAATTTTAAGTCGAATATTTCAATATTTTTTTAGTAAATAGCGGTTTTTAGTCTGTGGTAAATTTTAGGTTAATGCTCTTCTTAGTTTCACTCATACATGAGGAAAATAATAAATAAATTTTTGAAACTGACTCGAAATTTACAGTAAAAAGTAAGATACCTTCTCTGTTGGAGAAATACTTGAAATAATGTTATATTTTTAATAATTTATTTGAGATCATTTCTATTCGTATAAAACTGGTATAGATGTTTAAACTTAAATCAGAATATAAAATATTGAACGCTAAAGTTACATACGATAACATGACACAGTCCCGCCGGATAAACTGATCGGTATGTATACTGAAGGTCTAGAGATCGATACTCTATGTGTTCATTTGTTTTCTGTTCTGTTTAGAAAACCTTGCAAGGATCCTGCTAAGAAATGGCATAATACTTTCAAGGAAACTCAGTAAGATCCTGCAACGATCTTTTAAGGAAAACTGGTAATATCCTTGGGGAAAAATAGATAAATGTGGTACCCGGTAGACTGAAATTTCTTTTTTTGATTAGGAATTTATCAGAGTTCTGCCAGGATCCTGATTCAAACACAATCGTAATTTGCTGAAAATTCTGATGTAATCCTGTTCCCTATCCCGTCAGAATCTTGAAATATTGTGGCTACAGACTTTTTTCATGATTTCGTCGTTTCCTCAGGAAAAAAGAGCAAATCCTGGAAGGATCCTCACTGGATCCGTTAAGGATCTGGCTCGGAAAAATCAATGTTTTCCCCTAGAGAAATACACTCAACATGTGCACGGAGAGGTGAATGGGTATGTCGGTATGGAGTGTGGATGTAGGTCAATAGAAATCAACACCCATACCGTGAACTAGGCGTTGATAGTGAAGAATTCATGGAAATCAATCGATTTTTCTGGATAATTTTCGAATAAAAAGAAATATTTTGAATAATGCCTCTCTTTCGTGGTGTAACTCTTTTCGCGGCATCCACAGTGTTGCGAAATGCTGCGAGAGAGAGAGACAGATACGTGAGCTAGGTATAGAAAGTGAAGAATTCATGAAAATCAACCAATTTTTCGAGACAAAGTTGGAAGAAGAAGTGTTGAATGAATTCGAAAAATGATGTCCTCATGCTTTATGCGTCTTTTTGTGGAATGAGTAAAATATTTGCAAAACTTTTAAAGGCACTCGATGCCCTTTCGCTGTTTTAATGTTTTTCTGGGTTTTTCTTATAGTGGGTGTGAATGTAGGTGAGGGTATAGATGTGAGTTGCCTTTTGTGATGTTTTCCGTCAATTCAGTGGGTGTTGGTGTGGGCGTTTATCCGGTACTCACTCACCGACACCCCACACCCACACCCACACCCACCCCACACACCGACACCGACACCCACACCCACACTCACACTCCACACCCACACTCCACACCTCATACCCACACCCACACTTCACACCTCACATCCACACTCCACACCTCACACCCTCACCCACACCCCACACCCGCACCCACCCACCCACCACACCACACCACACACCCACACCCACCCACCCACCACACCACACCACACATCCACACCCTTCTTCTTTTTAACTAAACCATAAGTCGATCAAATGAAGAAAAAGCGGATCCAAACACATACCAGGAGCCATATGATTCTTCGGAATTCATTAGACGCGCTAAAGTTTGCATAGGGTGTGGGTAGAAGAGAAGGATAAACAACACTCAGATTCAGACCGACACCTACATTCACATTCACATTCACATTCACCTCACACCCACACCCCCACACTCACACTCAAAACCAACACCCCACCGACACACAACATCCACTCTTTTTTCTTTATGGTATTTTTGCTTTCTTCTATTCGTATTCGTATGTTATATATTCTCTTGATAATACACTCATTTTATTTGATGAAGATAAAGTCAATGTAACTTAGTTACCTACTCTTAGAAAGTTTTATAACATTCGGGTTTTTATCTCTTCCCTTTCTCTATCATGCGTGGATAAGATGACGCACTTTGTAATATTGTCTTTGTCTGTTATATAAATATATAAACATTTTTACATTAGATCGTTTCGTTATTTGCGAACAGCAGGTGTGACTCGCATAAAATCTCTGATTCCAGATGTCGAAAGGCAAGGAACAAATAAAGGTTATATTGTCCGGCAATGATGATAAACGTGTGAATATTAAACGCGATACGTCATTACCGACTCATTTACAGATACGTGAATATCTGGGTGCATTCGGAGATGACGATTCGACGACATGTACATATGACTGGTACGATGCGCAGGAATTTAACGCGAAGCATCTTGAGAATTATGTTTGTTCATTTGTGGGTTCTGTTGAAGATCTAACCAAGAGTTCTGATGGTTTTTTCAATAAACCACAGAAACCAAATCCTTATTATTTCACAAAGTGTGAAAAATGTGGATATATTATTTTGACAAATCGGGATATTGGCAAGAAACTTGTATGCATGAATCCACAAGAGCGATGCAGTCATTATAATCATACTCAACCATTATCCAATGATGCATTTATGAGTGATATTTTAGAATTAGTGAATGAACATTATAAATTAAATTTAACATAAACATTCAGAGCCTAATTTCTATTTCAACATACATAAAAAGACGTTTACATCAGTGTTGCACGGAATAATTTATTTTGTTTTATAGTTTTATATCAGAACGATAGCATGGATGTCGATGTGTATTATACTGTGCAGGGTGTGGATGTAGAGTATGGGTGTGGGTGGGTGTGGGTGGATATTGGTAGGTGTGGGTATGGATGTGGGTGTGGAGTGGGGTGGGAGTGTGAAGTGTGGGGTGTGGGCGTGGGTGGATGTGGGTGTGCATGTGGTTGAACAAATCACTCAAACCAACATCCACACCCACACCCACATATATCATCTTTGTGTTAATCATCATTTTACTAAAAAGTATCGTCTATAAAAGATCTATACAAAGCGCAGTCGATCGATAAGATCGACAACTCAACAAAACGCGCAAAACGAACCAACTTATATCATAATGATTGTATATGAGGTTTTTCGCATTATTCTGGTCATTTCATCTCTACATAAAGGTGTCATGTCGGCAACGCTCTGTTCCGGCGGTCAATATATTGCTGTATGTAATGACAAATGTTATGATACTTGTTTCAACAAAAGTATCAGTGGGATCCTTTGCAACAGTGGTCAATATTCAGATGTATGTAATGGAAAATGCTACGACACTCGATTTAACAAATGCATCCTAGGAACTCTATGCCCTAGTGCTCAATATTGGGACGCGTGCAATGGACTATGCTATGATACTCGATACCAACAGTGTTCTAGTGGCTAAATTATGAGCATCATTATTTTTATGCGCTAAAACTTGCCGCATGTACTGTCACCCACAACACTGCTGACGTGAGTTTTCTCATATCATATCTTGAATAAATCAAGAACTAAAGGACAGTCAAGTTACCATTGCTTCTATCATATAATCGATGATGTTATTTAGACGATGTGGGTGTAGGAGTCTGGATGTGAATGTGGGTTGTGTGAGTGTAGATTTGGGTGGGTCTGCGTGTGGAATGTTGGTCCGTACAAACCTCACACATCCCACCCACATCCACATCCACAACGATGGTAGTTAATAATTTTCAAAGAATGATTGATTCTGACAATAAAGTTTGTTTCTTTTTCATGAAAAAAATTAATGTCACCATCAACCGATTAACCGTATTTTAGTTAGCCAGACGCCAGCGTAGATCAGTTATCAAAATGAGACTCTTTGAAAACACTGTATCGGCTGTTGCATCATTGAGACGTCAATATTTCGATCGAAGAGAAGAAAAAATAACGCGATAGAAATGTTTCGGATCCGAGAAGAAAGAAAACTGAATACAGGAGTGAGATGAAAAATGCAAAGCAAAACAATGAGGCAACGATTCGTCAATATCTATCAATGAAGAACAAATGATGAAATGAGACGATGTTAGAGACAACAGATGACGGCTCCAGTACCACTCTGCAATATGACTCTAAGCTTTCTTGTAGAACTACTTTCTAAGTAGATGATCTGAACTACTTTGCTTCTCGGTAATTGAGATCGCGTTGATCTAGTTTATTCATTTTTTTTTCACTAACACATGTACGGCGACTCAAAGTAAGGCAGCTCGCTTTAGTTCCAGTGTCCAAGAATTGAAACTGATTAATAATTATTCGTAACTACTCATAACTAATTGCAGCTACACAAAATTATGTATAATTACTCATCAATGAGTAAGTGTGGGTAATTCGCTAAATGCCGTGAATATTGCACGATTACTTGTCTTTTGTCTAATAATTAATAACTGTCATTGAGTGCAAGTTACGCCTTCTTCATTTCTCATATATATGGCTCTTTTCATTCAGCTTTTATTCGAAAAACATCCATGATCACTATGATTTATAATAGGTAGCAGTTATCTCTTGTTTGTACTGCTTTGTCAAAATTCTTTGGTAGATCTCCAGTAAAAGACGTTATAGTGCACATTTTAGTGTTTTATTATTTCTTTCTTACCAAAAGAAAACATTTTAATACAGATGCAAAATAAAATTAATTGCTCATACAAAATGTTAATTGTCTTCGATACTTAGTTGTATTATTTCTACATCCACCACCATTGTGGCTGGGCACAACTGTGAATGGTCCTTGTTTATTGCATTGATCCACTGAATTAATTCCATAATTTGAGTATTTTTCAGATGTTACAACGCAACAGTTATCCGAAATTGCTGTTTTATAATTTAAACCAATAAATGAATCAGCTATAAGAGATAAGACTGTTTCTGATCCAAGACTATAACCGTATGGACATTCTCCTCCTACACCATCCAAGTAGTAACAATGAGCTTGATATAATATTTCGTTCAATGAACATTTATTTTTAATTTCAGCTGATGTTGATGTTGAAAGCGCGGTTGAATCCCTTAAGGAAAAACAAGGAAGTATGTTTAAAGTTTGCTTAGCAGTGAAAAGCGTGTATTCAATCGCTCTTGAATCAGTTCAAAACAAATTAAGACAAAGTAATATGCAACTTATTTTAGCATTTAATAGTCGAAAACTTAAGGCATTCTCTGCCGAAAAGAAGGCTTGTTTTATAGATCAATGCATATCTGTCATGCTGATGAATGTATCGGTACTGATACGAATCGTTTTTCAATCCATTGCTAGTACAAAAAGTAGCCCCTAATACTATTACAATGTTCGATACTTAAGCAATGGACAACACTTACAAACATAAATCATCAATGACAAAAACTTCTATATGTTGACCATTATTAGTTGATGCATAGAATGTAATTGTATTAATATCGAACCAATTTAATTCAATCATAGTTGAACGATTTTTTTCAATTTTAAATGATGCTTCTTTATAATACGTTGATGCACGTTGTGAAACCATCGATAATGTTACACTATCATTCCATGCAGATGAGGCAACAAATGATTTTATACTAAATTTATTTGGCATATCTATAGCGATTGTCATTCGTTCGCCATTCATGTTGAATGCAACCCAAGTACCCGATTTTACAGCCGAATAAAAGCCACTGTCGGACCATTGTGGATATAGTTGTGTATCAAGTACATAAGCATTCGTCCATTTTAAACCATGATAACCATTTGAGATCTTGGAATAGGTTGATGCATTTTCAAATGTGATTAGATTTGATTCCAAACAATCTAAAATGAATGTTTGCTTTCAACTTACGAATGAGAGCAAATTCTTCAAACACTTTTTTCATGGGATCAGTGTTCTACAGGGATACCGTGGCAAGGATATGCTCACAGCTCATTATTCAGACAACAACTATTCCATATAGTAGAATTTCAATAAGATGAGTGGATGTAGTCGATTCAATATATTGAACTTCTCATCCCTCAAGACTATACTGACTAAAGTTCGAAATTGTTTCTTCATTTCCAACGGAACTCAATAGGTTTGGAATCATGAAATGAGAAAGATGGGATGCTGCCTACGAATAAAATAAGTGGATGCATTTGTGATGTATCAAATATTTCACGATAAACAATTTATAAAATTCAATTTTTTGGAAAACCGGCCTGTTGAAGTCAGTCCTTTTACTGGTTGGTTCACGAAATTTGAGCTAACAACAGCTTTTTAAACTCGTCAACAAATAGTTCATCTGTTACAACAAGACAGAATTTCACTGCATGAATAACTTTCTGAGTACTCGTGCTTTGTTAGATAACAACGCATGAAGTGATTCATGACTATGTTTAACCTCTAATTTATCAATCACAATTTCAAGTTTTTCATTCATCTCAGTTTCGAGAAACTCTAATTTCGTTCGTACCATGCTAAAGCAAAGAATTAAAACACTCTTCGAGAATTTTAATCAAAATTCTTATTTTTTGGACAGCAACAGTTGCCAGCTGTTAAAAGCAATCGTAATAACCAGTCGTACTCTATCTTAACTAATAAAGTCTTATGCTCGATCTGCATTGGTGTTTTAGAGTTATAATTTTCTTCTTTTTTTATGGCAAATCATTCCAACATTTTGTAAGAAAAATATTTGTTCTACAAAACACAGCCGTCAAGGTCAATTATGTTTTGTCCCTTTCATTTGATAGGATAGAGTTTGTCAATAATCTACTAACATATTTCTATACCTATAGAACGATAAAGTGCTGACGGACATAAGCTTGACTAATAGTGTAGTACAAATTGTGGAGATAGTAAATGCGCATCGAATACATGTTGATCTCGTCCGTTATCATGTGTACGATGATTGCACCGATAACATTTTCGATCGTACACAATCATATGTGGTGATTGTAAAATGCTACATGTTACGATCTTTTAACTACTGTAAGGATTTTTTTTTTCAAATAGAATGAATATAGGTGTGTAGATCTCGTCTATTTCAAGATACATCGATCTTAGAAGTACAAGTCTCATATGGCTTGCCCAATATTCGTAATAAAAAATCGTACATCCGAAGTTTTCACTATCCGAAGTAAGCTGTAAGAGTACATCACTTAAAAAACTCACTTGATATTGTTTCTGTCGTTGACAAAACCATCTCTTTTGTTGTTGTTGTTGTTACTGTAACTGTTGGTGTCATTGCTACAATTAGAAAAAAGAACAAAGTTATAGTGAAAACCGAACGTTTGCATCATTGATCAAATAATAAAATTCACAATAATCATAGCTTTTCGCTTGAAACATCCTTAATGCGGCGAAGCAAAGGAATACTTACTGTCCCCAACGCACTGGCACTCTACTTGTGACCAAATTAAATTTGCTGGACACGGTTTAAGATAACCATTACCGTGAAGACAATGCCAAAATGTGTGATAATCATCGGCATTTTCGAACATGCCATCATTCTTACATAAAAATGCTCCATCAATAAATTTTATACCGAAAATTAGGATATGTAGAACTAGTATAGAATGCATTCGCTGCAAGACACGATGTCTCTTCAACAAGTGCAAATGAATTAGAAAAATAGTGTGACTTTCCTTTTTTGTTTTTCATTTTAATTTTTTTCGGCTTACGAGCAAGTAACTGAATCTTCGCGCATCTGTGTTACGTACTAATCCTGTTAATATTTAATTTGTTTTAGCCCTTGACATTCCTTCTCTATTGCTGATTTGACAAGAACAAGTTGCACAAAAGTGGAAAGAAATATTGACGTGACACGAGTCGGGATGGCACTTTATCTTTACTACCCAGTAAAGTCTTCATATTTTACTCATTTCTTGAAAACAATAATCTTGAAAACCGATCAAAAGTAAAATATCACTAGATTGATCTTCAAAGTGACAGTAGAATTAAAAGCAACTTTTAACCTAGATCTAAAATATTGATATCGTTGTTTCTTGATATTCATAGATTACTTTTTATCTTTCTTCTATTGTTGGTATGATTGTTTTTTTTTGTATTTCAAATAATGAATGAATAATAACTTTTGATGTAAAGAATGAAAAATTTAACTCTAAGTATCAGCATACTTTTTTCATGGATTTATTACAAAACATCTTTTGTTAAAGAAATATATGAATTTGAAAATATATAACATAAAGGAATTTATCAATATTAAATGAACGTCGTTATAATTAATCATTGTATCGAGATAGTTTTCTTTTTCTATTTAAAATTTCTTTTCTAAGATTAAATCATCGAATAATACAATGCACATGTCAGTCAAGAATAACAATCTATTTTAGATTTTTCTGTCATTAACGGCAGATGAGATTCTCTTTTTTTTATGGCATATTTATTTCTCAACGACTTATTATTATCATCTTCATGATTATTATGTTTCATTGGAGAATTTATATATCTACTTAGATTTTTAAAAAAATCTCTCTTGAAAGCAACATGCATGATAACTATATAAATGAAAAAATACTCATTCTACCATTTCATAAGTGAGAAATGTCTGAAAAAGAAGAATCAATTCAGTAAGAAATCAATATGTTCTAAATATGAATGATATTATTGATCAAGTGTCCAACATTATTTTTACGTGTTTTTTCTATTAATTGGGCAAATAATCGTATTGGATGTAATATACATTTCTTTATTTTATTTATTGTTCCATTTCAAGCTAATCTACTGCTTATTTTAGCTTCATTTGATCGTTATTGTTCTAGTTCACAATCCTGTCGACTTCATTCGAGAAGTACAATTCGAAAGACAAGAATAATTATTATTATTGGAACCATTGTATCTGCTCTTTATATATCACCCATGTTATCTACTTATAACTGGAATGAAACACAATAAATGTTTACCACAATCGAATATTTTAATTCGTATTTATATATTTAGTCAAATATTTCTCTATTATATTTTAACATCTATATTAATGTTTATATTTGATTTGTTGACTATTCATAATATTCATCAACAATCTACTCGTGCAATATCTGTGACAGTATCTATGCGAGGTCGACGTACCGAAGGACAATTAACTAGAATGTTAATTCTTCAAATTATTGTTCATCTTATTCTCATACTTCCATTTGGTATTACATATAGTATGAATTCATTTGTACCATCGACACAAACACCAACTGTGATAGCTTTACGTCTAGCTTTTGTAATACGGTAGCAATGTAATTATTTTGTTTCATTTTTTCTTTATACTTTTTCTGGATATGTTTATCGTCAAGAATTTCTACAAATATTGAGTTTCGTTGAAATTCGAAACACATTATGAATATCTCTCGTAGGAAATTAAAAAATTATATATCAAGAGATGTTACTAATTAATGTTGTTGTATATGCTACAAATGAGATGATGAATGATGTTTTTAATTCATGTTGTAAATAATAAAAACTATGTAGAATATTAATAATATCCATTTTTTTTTATTTATTATATAGTAGGTTTTTCCGCCGAACAAGTGTATACTTATGTTCATTTATTAATTCAAGGAATTTCTATTTGATAATACAAGATAGTTATGCTAAGCAAGTCATGTGAGATGGTACAATAAAAATAATATTTTAATGATGTGAACGACCATTGCTTTTGAATAAAGATCATATGTACTCTGTTAACTTTGAGCAGTTATGGGTATTGTGAAAGAGTTCGTGCTGTTCGCGTACTTCTGTCGAGATACTGTATTTTTGCGGTGTTCTTTTAGCACAAAGCTGTCGTCTCCTTTATAGAAACACTGGAAAAGTTGGTTTTCGAATCTCGACTTGAAATTTCACACAGAGATAGATTTGAAACAGAATAGTCTATTGTGAAATTTTCAAATCTTTCTATCGTTGCTCTCTTCAGATAAGATTATAGTAAAACTGCATCTTATAGGGTATTCTTATTACAGGATAGAAGCAACTCAAACTTCTCCGGCTAAGACCTATGTTTGTGTGAAATTTCACATGAAATGTCGAAAAATCAGCTTTTCCAGTATTTCTGCGAGGAATTTTAATTATGTGCTAAAAAATATCGCAAAAATGCAGCATATACGGAGAAATAAACTAATAGCACGAACTATTCCGCGATTTCTATAACTGATCAGGGTCTACATGATGTACACCATTTCGATTGAAAAATCAACAATCAATTGAGGAATTTCCTTCGTTAGATCGATTTGTTACTTTGACTTTTTTTGTAGCTTCTATCTGTATACTGTCACATGTTGATGCTTGTAATTAAATATCGCAATATACAAAAAACCTTCGAATATTAATTGTGATCTTCATAACATGGTCATGGCGACAGACATTATCAAGCCTATGATATATAACTGGAAAATGATGAAGTGCAAAACAGCCAAAATCAGTTTTGTAATGTTCAAACGTCGATTGGGCTTATCCCTTATGCAATAAAGAGGATCTTAGGTAAAATCGGCCTTGAAACCGATATTATACTTGTCAAGCAAAAGCGTATAACTCATGACTTTCAAAGGTTCGAATTTTATCTAAGAATGCGCTCCTTCAGTAACATTTATGGAGCACTGATTGACTTCATTCAAAAGTCAAAGAAAGCTTCCTTAAACAAATCGTTATTTGTTTGCTTTTTAAAATTGTTTGAAGGAATTTTCCAACATGGAGCTGAGAAGTAGACTCAAAACTTTTTCGAGTTAGAGAGTATCTAAAGAATACTTATATGGAATTTTGGAAAGATTTCGACTCATCTTATTAGATGTCCAACTTTACGACAGAGTATGAGCGCATCGAACGTTACAAAACAAACAGTGAGTATAGATGTGCAAAGATTGCAAATGACGTATGAAGTTCATAGCGACTAGAAAATTTTTTCATGAAATCTGACACAACTTTTACTGATTCAAGTGTATAAAAGAAACCTCTTTTGACTATCATTTAATAACACGTAAACGTGGATCTAGTCCGTTTTTTAAGTTATTGAATTTTATGTTTAAAGAAACTTTCGAATATAATTATGTAGTCGTGTTTGTTTCTCTTTTTCTTAACTTCAGTATATTTGTCAATCAGACCACTTTGTAAGTCCAAATAGCTGGCGTCCTAAGAGAGTGAGATCTACTTCTGGATCAATGTTAGCAGCTTGAAGCTTGGCTAAAATTCCCTTGCGTCGATTTTCGACTCGTTCCGATGTCATAGCAGGATGTTCGGCAGGAAACATTTTGAAGAATTGAGCAAAACGAGGGCGAAGACTACGATTCGCTCGTGATCCATGCATCGTGCGTTGATCCCATAGGATAGCTGAGCCGGCACGAGTAGAAATATGGCAAGCGGCGGCATAAAGCTCCGAAATGTCGTTCTCATGAAAGACATTGAACGTCGAGTAGAGACCATATTTGGAGCACCATGCTTGGTGCTCGGTCGTCCATTGCGATAGATAGCGATGGAAGCCGGGGACAAGCCAAAAACCACCATCTTCTTCCAGATTATCAGCGAGATTCACTAGACCCTGGACGTGTCGCTCTCCGATTGTGTCACAGCCAGGTTCATTATTTTCCGTAATCCAATCGTCATCATCTTCATAGCTCAATGAAGTGAGAACTTCGATTTGATGCGAGTTGTCCTTATCTAGAGTAAAGATCAGAAATTATCCTAAACTATACAAAAGAGAACAAAGCAAACCTTTGAAATATCTCCATGGATTCATGTCCAAGTGAAGATTGGTCATTGTTGTTCGCTTGGGATGTTCCTTTGTAGGTCGAAACATTCCATAGCGATCTTGATTAACTAGAAGTTTTTTCGTTCCTAGAATAGTTGCGAAAGCAGTATGCAATGCTGGTGTTTGTCGATTGAGCAAGATTTGCCGAGTCCAGAGACTGGCATCACCAATGATACCCTCCTCTACTAGACCTGTTCTGCTCCAGAGCCTAAAACAATAGAGTAGATTGTAAACAATAAAAAATCAACTAAGAACATTTACTGTAAGTTCCAAAGATTTTCATCGTGACGTATAGGTTGTCCTACAAAAGACTCGATCACATTCCAGATGTCCGAGATCGTCTCTTGACATTGCTCTGGTGTGAAGACATTTGCGAGGACTACGAAGCCGAACTGCTCGAAAAACTTACGCGCCTCATTAGCTTCCGGACAGTCGTGACTAGAAAGAATGAAACTCTTCACAAAACCTTCCAAGTCTCTTGGCACAGAGAGTGGTTGAAATTTGTCAGTAGCGGCTGCCATTGTAATGAAAGAAGTTATTGTTAAAGAAATACTGCACAGCAAATAAAAATAGTATGTTGAAATGGTAAGCATAAAAGGTGAGGCTATAAATCAAAGTATGAGTTGCGCAAGACTCGTGCAACTATTTGCCATGAATAATATTATGGGGTAAACTTATGATAGATAGAGAAAGAAAAAATACCATGACCCTTGAGGAACGAAAAACAACAAAATATATGAGTCATCTCACTACATTGCTCAAACGAATGGGCGTTAGAGGACAATGCATTCTTCGGAATGGAAATTTTCAAAGCACTTAACAGAAGAATATAGCCTAAATCATTAATTGCTGTTTCGAGAGTCATAGAATTCTCAATTATCGTTCATCCATCGTTTGTTTTTATAGAAACTTTGTTAATATATGTGATGAGAAATTGTGTCCAAATGTATGCATGTTGACACTTCTTTACTTCATACTCAGCATCATTCATTTAAGACGCTTTTACACATGAAAATGCTGAAATTAGTAAATTGCTAAAGAAGATAACTCTATTTGTAGACTTGTTTTGCTGGAAAAATAGTTTAGATGAGTATTAAGTCAATAAGCAATTGCTAGAAAACAATTATTGTCTGTATGTAATATATATATATAAATATTTCATAAGCTTTGCATCCATTTTGACTTCTTTGAATATTTTTCAAATGTCACAAGCTGAGCAAACATTGAAATTAAATATTGAAGACTATATTTGAATCACCATCAAAATTTTATTCACTGAACTGCTATCATCAGTAAACAAGTGCATTATTAAAAAATATTAATGTAATATTAAAATAATTTTAGCAGACGTATTTCACTGAATAGAAGGTACTTGTTTACTTTAAACACAGTCCTCACCTTCACATGGTGCTGTGTAATGTTTTAGTCACATGAATGAGTACAAGGATTGTGTTCAAAATGAACTGGGACCTTAATGTATAATCTATTTATTTATCCAATCTTAGCAAAATCATAGATGCAGAGAGATACACAACGATTTCTTCATCATCACAATAAATATAGAGTTATCTTAATATTAAGAGAGAATTCAAAAAGGTCTTTATACTTCATTAGATTCTATTCAGTCAGTTTGTTTTTTTACTTGCGAGGTGATTAAAATGTGTAATAACTTTCTCTTGTATCATTTTTAGACTCGTTTTTTTCTTCTAACAATGTTGAATTTTAACACATCCAATAATACATTACTTTTTTTTATCCTTGTTGATTATATTATTTTCATAACTGTCCATACTTAGTCATGCTACTGTTTAACAAGCGAAATACAAAATTAAAAAAATGTTTGAGCTATTTTTTTTTGCCTACTAAAAGTTAATGATAGTTATCTGTCATGTTATCAAATAGGTTTATTTATCCCTAATTCTTCTTTATTTTTAATATATTTAATTTGAAATAAATATTTTCATATAAAAACAAAAATCTATTGAATTAAATAAAAATCTAGAAAAAAATTAAAATGACACAAAAAAAAAGTTCAATTTGTTATTTGTTGATTAATTGTTTGTTGTTCTGTTGTATTATCTGAATTTTGATCATCGATTCCTTCTTCAATACCTGCAAAACGTCGAGCTAATTTAGCAAGTAAATCAGCTTGTTGAGATATTTGTTCTGTATATTGTCGAATTTGTTGAGTTTGTTGATCAACAATTTCAATAAGCATTAGACATGTACGACACTTAATATAAACAATAAAGACTATTGTCTATTTTTTGTTTATAATATTTACTTGATTAGATTGATTCGAGTTTTGTTGTTGTTCTTCAACAATATGAACATTTGTAGGCTGATTCACATCATTTTCATTATTATTTATTTGAATATTTTCAATTAAAATTGGTTCATTCGAATTATCTTGATCAATAATTTGTTGACGTTCTACAATCGAAGGTGATGATGGATATGTATGAATTGTTGATACTCGTCTAGAAAAAAGTTTTTTTTTTAAATTGAAATTCAAAAAAAAAAAAGAAAAGAAAATTTCAATCTACTGATGAACAAAATCAGTTTCAATTGTTGAAATCGAATGAATAGATGAATGTGTTCGTCGTAAAGATGAATTATGATCAGAAAATGTTCTTATATATGGATGATTTCGATGAGAATTATAATCTTCTCGACGATGAACTGGACATGGATGATGAGAACGATTATTATTATAATCATCATCAGCTAATTGAAGACGTATTGCATCGATAGGTTGTTTATCAGATATTTGTTTTGGAACATGAAAATGTTCTCGAAATGTTAATGGACGATTCATTGACATTTTATTCATACCCTTGAAAGAAATTATTATTTAATCTAAAGATCTTTAAAAAAAAATCAAAACAACTTACCCGACCATAAATTAATTGATTTCGCAACGGACGATGATGAGTCCAATTCATGTTTTCTTTTTTTAAATCAAGCCAATGTTTGTTTGTTGATTCATTTTTATATCATACCCGCTCATTTTCTAATATCAGTCCTTTGATGAAGATGTTTTCTTTTTTTTTTTGGATATAGGAAAATTTAAAAAAAATTATTTTTATGAAAAATTATAAAATAATTATTCAATTTTGTTTTATTTTTTATTTGAATAAAACGCCATCTATTGTTGTAAGAAAGAACAAATACAGTGAAATATTTTGCATAATTTTAAGTTTGAACTTATTGAATAAGATAAATTAAAGTTTCACTTTTGAAATGTTTCTTTAAAGCCGGGTCTAAATCTATTTCGATTTCTGTTACAATGCATCGAATGAATTCTTTTCTCTCTATGGTCAATCTATTCAAATTAATTAAAAGCTAGAACTCGATTCTTTGATCACGAGCAAAATTTCAATGAATACAGACGAAGTATTTGATCACGACAGGCTTCTAGCTGAGATTGAATAGAATTGTCAATATTATCATAAAGTGAAATTTCGATGATCAACTGATCCTATGTAAAACTGCTGAATAATAAATAATTAATGATTAGAAATTATCTATTTTTCATTTCTAAGAAGCTATATGTCAATTTGGACAACATGTTGTTTGTGATTATAGCGAAATTGCCAAGTGCAGAACATAACTTAACGAATGAATCAAAAGACGTTCATTTCAGATGCAGGACTTCAATGGCATCGAACAAACCATTGATGTTTATCAAGTCAGAAAGAATCGATCAATTAGCCGACCTCTTGTTTTTCATCGGCAATACTATACGAAATAGATTATCAAGTTCACTCAAATTAAAATTGCAACTTTCAACGCCTCCAAATCGTATCAATCAGCTTTTGATACATTTTTTAGTGATAATCAACGGAGTAATATTTGAGCAAGATTAAGAAAATATAACAGAGTTTATCAATCATGGTCTCAGTCAAAACCATGAAAGCGATTGCCGAAATTGAATTTATTGACAAAAAGTGAATCAACTAAGTAGGAATTCATCGAACAATGATTCCAAATCTATTTCTAATTTTAATATGCAATATGATTTGAATGATAAGAAATATTGTGTGATTTTGTTTTTTGTTTTGCTTTTCATCAGATTTTTATTTGAATGGAGATAGACTGCATGATATCGTTTTTTTTTATATTATATGTACATGATTAATTTGTTTAGTAAAGCTTTTTTTGTTATTTCTCGTTGGAGTAGTATCGAAGTTAAATGGTTAAATCAAATGTCGACCTTGCGCAGTGAATACAAAAAAGAAGTGTATTCAATCTCCTTTTCTTGAGCGCTTATAATAGCAATATTTAGTTCTTTGGTTTTTTTTTGTTGTTGCATTAATCAACTCGATAACCTCAAACTTTTCATTTAATGATCATTACCTTTCAATTATTTCTTATCATATGCATAAAAAAGAAATACGAAACAAAAAATGAATTCTTTCAATTTTTATGATTAGTCAAACCAATGTGTGGATAGAACTGATTTTAGTAGTATTTTGAGCACATTTCTGTAGAAGTTCAAGTGTAATATCGAATTCACTAAATTTCAAATGCATGAAAGCAAGATTTTTGTTTGACATTGTCAAATTTTGAATATCAGAAATCATCATCAATATTTCAATATCTGTATGTTAAGCGGATAAATTATTTATTCAAAAGAAAAAGTTTTACTATTAAATGATTGTCAAATATATTGCAATTTTCTATCAATTGTATATGAGTCGATGTAAAAAGCATTACTATATTTTCAGGATATTTATAGATAGACGATTGTATGGATTTCATTCAGATAACAATACTACGATAGTATCACTTTGCTATTCATTGTAAATAAAGATCAAAGCCAGAAACTTTTCAACAAGGCAATATACCGAGCACGTTGTATCAAAGTATGTATGACTCATACTCGTATGTTATTTTTAGTTGGATTGTTATTTATTCATTATCATTTAAAGCTAATCTAACTTGAATTGTTTTCAAAGTCATGAATATCAATATGATTGGTGGTTTACTTAATATTTCTCACCAATATTGATTGATGAACATGATGTAATATTACATTATTATACTGATAATATAAACAAATGTCCAAATGACAATCTTCATCAATTCGCTAAAATACGTTTTTTTTTCATTCCTACATCATTATGATGTGATGGTGGTGATTCAATCAATAATATTCAAGTGAGCTGTACCAAAAAAGAATACGGATGAGTATTGTGTAGGAAAGAGAAGACAAGCATACAGTTGGCGATGAATAACTAACATTGAATGCATGATTTTATCTCAGTAATTTTCGTCATCAAATGCTTGACAAACAACGATAAGATGAATTAACAGAATGATGACTAAAAATAAACACAAATTTATCAAAAAGCCTAACGAAAGAGAAAAAAACGCCTATGCACATATATATGCTTTATACTCAAAATTGTCTATCAAATATGTTCCTTTTCATACTATTGATAATCAATAATGGCTTCACATTTCATAATTTCTGGTCTTAAAAACACACATCTTCAAAAAAAAAACTTATCTGATCGTAGTCGTCTTCATAACTATGATGTTATTATTAAATTTTATTCAGCAAAGGTTTCAGAATAATTCTGTTCAATATGTACATGAAATTATTCGTTTCTTTTTTTCTTTTTAAGAATTTACCAAAAACAGACTTAGTTGGACACTGTGATCCATATTTTATAGCAAATATTGATCATCAAATTTTATATACGTAAGTATTTAACAATTTTCATTCTCAATTGGAGAGCAGAGATGCCTCATTATCTATTTCTATAATTAATACAAAATCTAACACAGATAGAAATATTGAAATGTCTCTCTTCTCTCATTTTTTTTGTAAATTAAATATACGATTTATATATAATTACAAACTATAGATCAACTATACTTTCAAATACATCAAAACCTATATGGAAGGATGAAGAACGGATTGTTCGAAATATTCCATCTACAGCTAAACTTATTGTTAAAATCTATGATAAAGACGATGAAAAACTTGCTGACGATTATATCGGTCGATTTGTAATATCTGATTTTATTCATTATTATCCTCCTTCAAAAGGTCATAAAATTATTGGCACATTTAATCAATGTAATGGTCGTTTTCATTTATCTATTCAAGTGACAAAGACATCTGAAGAGACGAAACAACTTCCTCCATACACATACGATGGTTCATGTCGATATTCTCGTCATGATTCTCTTGCTATTGGTCGTTTAACTATGCTCAATGCTGATTGTATTTATTCAACATGGAAAATACAAATGAGAAGAATTTTATATTTTTTTCCACCTAATGAAAGACAACATTGGAATAAGCACTATCAATCAGCAGTAACTATCTTTGGTAATTATCCACTTTCAATAGTAATACAAGGTGGAATTAAATTAGCGCATAGAACACTCTATAGAAAAACATTAAAAAATAATGATTATGGTCGATTGAACAGTGCTGATGATCTTTGGAAGCTTTTGTTTTTTGATAAAACAACAAAAACAATTAAACCATGCATTTATACATATATTATTGATGATAATACATGGAGATTTAGTGAAACAGCAAATCAATTTTTTACAGATTTTGCTAGTAAACATGCTTTATTAGCGAATTCTTCGAAATATATTTGCTATGCAGGTGAATTTCATTCACGTCCAAAATATGGATGGAATCGATTAGATGATGAATGGGAATTAGTATTTGATAATAGATCTGGTACTTATGCTCCAACTGCTGATTTATTAGTAAATTTGAAAGAATTATTATTATTTAATTTTCCTGGTTTGAATATTGTTACATATAATTATAAAGATCCTGAACTAAAACAAAGTTTAGAAGAATTGAAATTAGCAATCGAAAAGTATAAACATAGTATAGAAACAATTGAAAAACTTGTCTTTCATTTTAGACCATCGATTTAAAATGAGTATCTTTCTAATATAGTGTGTAAATAATATGTTTAATAATAACTTTTTTAATCTTTGAAAATAATTTTTCATAATTTTATATTTGATATTATATCAAACAAGTGTTTTATTGATTAATGGTGAATGCAAGATTTAGTTTTTTGTGAAATTTTCAAATGTAGAAATTGTTTATCAATAACCTATAGAGTTGCTTATGATATGTAAATTATGGATACAATCTTCTTTTAGCGTAAAATCAATCAATAATGTGTTTTATTTAGATAAAACTGAGCTTTGGGATCTTTGTTTTATGCAACTACAAGCTATTTGCTGATGTTTTATTGCAATTGATAAAAACAAATCGAATTTTATAGTAGTTTATTCTCAGTACAAAATTCTTACAGAGCCAATCACAAAGAAAATACTCTTGATTTTGTTATTGATACGTTACACAAGTGGCTAACACTATACCATTTTCCTACATAAAACGAGTTATTTATAAAATTTGAATGATCTCTTGACCTTTGGTCATTATACTTCGGTTGTTTTTTTTGTAGAATTAAAATCAACGTTCATTTTACTTTTACTACCAATGCTATGCACTACCTAATACTTTTGTTTAGTAGACTGAAAAATTGCTTTTATTTCACGCCTACAATTATAAACGCAGTTTATAAAGGAAATTATTTCGTAGCGCTAACAAGAGAGACCCACCAGAACCTTGAGAAATTTGTATAAAATCGGCCACCGTCACAATTGCTTTTTTTTCGGTCTAATTATCTCAAGTGGCAGACTATCATCAGAAACTTTTAAATCTAAAATATCAGCTCTTTTTGATTGTAAAAAATACTAGAGTATATCGGATAATATAACTTTTGAGACTAGATTAAAAAGAAATAGTTTACAGATAGATGTCTTATGTTTTAAAGCATATATTTACAGATGTCTTTTATAAGCCTGTCTCAGTGTACGCGTGGGCTCAGGAGAACCAAAGTGATTGTATAATCGAAGTAAAACGGTCAAGAATCGTCAATGATTCGAACACTTCTAATCATTTATACTTACTCTCCACTCTATCATAATGTTCGACTTTGCTGTGTATCTATCTATGAGGTCTAACAAAAAGAAAGTTTAAATTACTGTTGTATTTTTTCAAGCTATAATCTATACATAACCATCAGTGAGACTGATCTCGTTCAATTTCGGAGTCCAACTGATGAACAAGCTGAAAGTTTTTACGTTCTTGATGAAATTTGAACCGTGAGAGAAACACAGTCGGTACGGTTTTTTTCCGTGCCTGAGGTTAGATAATACGGGCTCTAGCAAATAGGTTCATTCTACATTTATTGCACTTGAGTAAAGTAATAATTAAACATATTATAAATGTGTTTGTGTTAGCTGTATTGACAAAGCTTTAACTAAAATTGGAATGCTCTTCCTCGAGTTGTATTCAATCACAGACAATCAAGCATTTAGGACACATGCAATGTGACTCTTGTTTGTTATTTAGGTCCTGCTTGTGATCTTCAATCGGCATTTCCATCTAGCTATGTTTATCAAGTGACAGAAATTTGACGTCTCCTATGCGAATGGTTCATGTATGTACTGTACTCAATTATAGCGCTACTCGCTCTTTCACACCCACACCCACACCCTAAACTCTAAACAGTGTATCAAAATGGCCTCTATTGCAAAATGGTTCGTGAAACTTTGATGCAAGGTTATGCGACTAATAAACCCTTTGGTATGGTTTATTATTCTATACTTCTGTTTTTTAGAATGCCCAACAACTAACACACATATCTACATCAATATTTATCAACATACAGAAACCCACATCGAACCCACTCTCACGAAGGACAAACAGAAGAATGCAAGACTTTGTAATAATTGTCATCAACGAACTTCGTTGATGTACAGGGTGATCAGTTTATTTTCAAACGATTTTCGTAGACTTATTCTTCCTCAGCAACTGATTCAGATCTGATGAATCTCATATCAATGTATCCCACAAAGACTGTACATACTGCTCTAATAATCAGATTTTGTATAGAAGAATGTTTTGTGATAAAACACTAGATAATTTTGAAAAGGTCATTTTAACATTTTTGAGAACAAGCATATTTGCAGGTGCCACCAGAAATCAACTTTTTCGATTATTTCACCATACTATCGTCTTTTGACCTCAGACAAATGTCACAGGTGCATCCACTATTAGTGCATGTATGCTAAGAGTTTCAGCAATAAAGAACGAGAATTCATAGAGAAATCAGGAAGTTTTTCAAATGTATAGTTGAAGCGAAACACATTGCAAGGCTTATTCTGTTACTATTTCTGGTTTAATTCAAAACTTTACAAGATGGTTATAGACGCCTGACCTACTCTCACGTGTAGATAATTCTAAAATACAGTTAACTGCTGTTTCAGACTTTAAATTAAACTAGAAATGGTAACAGGATAAGCCTTGCCATATGTTTAGCTTCAACTATATATTTGAAACACTTACTGATTTCTCTATGAATTCTCGTTCTTCATTGTTGAAACTTTTAGCATAGATGCACTAATAGTGGATGTACCTGTGACATATGTCTGAGGTCAAAAGATGATAGTATGGAGGAATAATACGAAATGTTCATTTTAAAAAACTTGAAAATGACCTCTTCAAAATTAGTCCAGTATTTTATTACAAAACATCCTTCTGTACAAAATCTGATTATTAGAGCAGTATATACAGTCATTGTGGGATACATTGATATGAGATTCATCAGATCTGAATCAGTTGCTGAGGAAGAATAAGTCTACGAAAATCGTTCGAAAATAAACTGATCACCCTGTATGCATGTGCAGTTGAAAACGATGATTGTTGGTTCGATAAAGATGAAAAGAAAGCTGCGAAAAAAACAAATACACCTACTCTGTTGACTTTTCTCGACAATACATTGAAAGAAACTCACTTTCTTTTATTAACTTTTACTGTCGTTTTGTTGCGAAGCCATAGAACTCAGTGAAAAAAAGAAACAAGGCCAAGCAGAATTTTTCGCAAACGAAAAGCTTTTTTTCTATAACACAAGGTAAGTTTTTATCCAGTCTCTATTCTGAGTTTAAGAGACGATAGCGTGTGTGTTCTAGAGATAGAATTTCGATCCAACATAGAAAAATACAATGGAAGGGGAGATGACAGCAGTATCTCCTTTCTCTGAAGACAGAAGTTTAGAAAAAAGAATTTTAAGCAATGATTAGAAATATTAAACATGCATTTTTTCACTGATTGGAATAAAAAAGAATACAAAAGTGTTCTTACTTTAATAAACTCCAGCTTCAAATGGACAAAGAATGATCGTAAAAAATATGAATAAAATCTATCAATTGTGTAACACTGTGACACATGCTAAGATGTTTAGTTCAATCAAAACTGAAGTAAAAGCAACATTCTCTTACTTTAAAACAAGAAAAGTCTCTTTTTTTTCTTTTGAAAAAACAAAAGTTGAAGACACCGGATCATACACACTGAGAGTTACAAAATCTTTCACAATGCCTACGACCGTTGTTGATGAACTGTAGCAATCAATTCTTTTTTCTTTTATCATCGCAGAAAAGTAAAATAAAATAAGGTAGCAACCATTGCCAAATTTCTGTTTTATGTATTCACGCTTTTTTTTGTGTGTGAAAGCGCAAAATGAATGGCAGAGTCTTATAGAGGAAGAGGAAAATGCTGCTACCATGATTTCTCTTATCTAAAGGTGGAGATATTAAGACAAGAATACATTTACTAGAATTTAGAGAGCATGCAATGAATTTTCAAGAAAAAAGGTTTCATTCATTCTTTTGTTCTTTTTTTAATGAATCTTATTAAGACCTTCAAAAGTTACCTTGCCCGTTTCCTTTTGATTATAAGTGCGTAGTATGTGCATAACATGTAAGTACCCACTCGATTATTCGATCTAACATCAATCCATTTCACCAATTTCAGTTTTTAAACAGACAAATGTGTACTCTTTTTTTCTTGCTCTGAAACATGTGGGTGTAGATGTGGATAATTCACGAACTTTCTTTGAGCTATATCCACACTCATAAATTCGTAAATACCAGTACTGAAGTGCCTAATCAACTTGAATATGGTACTGCGCGATGTAATATGTCAGTTGTGGCATTATTTTATTTTCGCATTATGAATACTTTTCAATATTTTGAACTATAGCAGCGATTTATTTTCATTAAGCTTCGTCGACTGTCCGATGACATTCAATTGACAACTTGGATGAAAATCTATTACAGTAGATTTTGATTGTCGACATATAATCCCTAATATTATTTCTATCTACTACTGCTAGTTGATCAATTTAATACATGAAATATGGGCTGTTCTTCTAGTATACACCCTGCGATAGTTACTCAGCCGAACGCTACAGCGTCACTCGCAGCAATTCCTGCGTCATCCAAATCACTTACTGCCTCTGGGCAGACAAGTGAAGTAGGTCAAGTTAAGCAATTTATCGAAGTATCGACCCAAACCGATGAGACTCAAAAGACTGATGCAAGTGTAAATACAACAGTCGACAGTGAAAAGATTGACAATGATCGTTTAGCATTCAATGATACGACTTTACCTCATAATCAAGATCCACAAAAACATCCAATAACATGTCTAGTTCAATCAAAAACAACATTAGCAACGTTGAACGATCAGCTATATATATTTCTCAATCCTCGTCTCAGTGCAAATCCGAATAGCGAAGAAATACAATGGATACTTCAAGATTTAGATGCTCAACAGTATTGTATGATGATTCAGCAAGAACTTCTTTCTATTGGCCCGATGGCTATTCAAGAAGCTGTCAATGCTATGAGAAAATCACAGGATCTTCAAATACTTAACCAAGATATTTGGATGTTGCTTGAACAAGCAGTGAAAACAAATGATGCTTCATATTTCATTCGAGCCTATACTGCTGAAAGTGAGTTCTACAAAATACTCAATCGAAAATTGGCTCAGCAAGATCTAACAAGTACAATAG